AAAAAAAAAAAATTGTAGAATTTCAAACAGAATCATGTAGCTAAATTTCTTCACTTCAGTGGCCCCAACTTTGGGGCTCAATACATCATATGTTGCTACATTATAGCATCCGAAAATAAATTATCTGAAACTAAAAAACATTCAGAAATCTAAAGTACAACCCCATATATCTGGCACATGAGTTCCATTTCCCCTCATATGCCCAACACCACCTATCAATTTCATAACAGGTAATATGATAAAAACAGTAAACAACAGATGCAGAAAAATAAAAAATAAAATAAAAAAGAAAGGAAAAGAGAGAGTTAAAAATAGAAAAGCAAAGCCAAAGGAAGTACAAAGCTCTCCCAGCTGTATTACCCAAATAACAACCCACTGCCCAAACACACAATCATGATGGGGATAGACGAAAAGGCACGAGCAAGAGATGAATCAGAAGTTCACCTCAATTGAATCCCATTCAGCTACAGCACTTTCACTTCGGCTGTTAATGTCTTATTACTCCAAATCCTCCTTGGACAGGCTTACGCCACCATCCAACCGTAAAGTATCCACCAAATTTTCCGAGAGTTGACTTATTGATTCAGTGACTGAATCTCCAGTCGTTTTCCCAGCTGAAGTGGCTCGTTGTTTTGCCTTTTTCTCCAGAAAGCTTTTCTCCCGCTCGTCATAAAACTCGAAATCATCGAGCAGGGATGTCTCTGGATCATGCTCCTTGAAGATTTTCAGCATTTCAATTCCCTGTTCCAGCTTTACCTGAGATGGAGTGACAGCGTATTTGTTTTTACTTTTAAGAGTAAATAAAGTACAGTTCATCTAAATTAGAAACGTCACAGATTCTAATAGGGTAATTGCATTAAACATTTAGTTCATAGAAATCACATCTCCTTTCTAGTGGATTCAGTAGAATACAAAACCTAGGACTGATAACTGCTATTCTTTCAAACTCCTAGCAATTTAAGTGGAATTTGGGAAGATAAACATTATCTTGCATGTCATTCTAACAAATTGGAGTAAAAAAATACTTCGGCTATAAAAAATTCGGGTGACTATTCACCAATAACTTTTGGATCATATGTTATCAGTTGAAATACACGTCTAAGCAGAAACGGCCGATTCAGAAGATTGCATTACCTCTTGAGAGTCTCGACTGTGAGTCACAGGCTTGTTGTCATTATTTTCAAGAACTATGTGGCGAAAGCGACTGTTGGGTACATCTTTTATAATATGCCATTTGACGGGAAACTGACCACTCCACCTATCCTGCTGCTGCCAGTAATCAGCATCATTCTCAAAGTCAACAGGCCCAATCATCTCAGCTACACCACAAAATTGGCCACTGGCATTAACCTGAAGGTCATTATAACACCAATCATAAAAAAAAAAAAAAAAAAAAAAAAAAAAAAAAAAGACGTACAATAATCGGCAAAACAGAAGAAACAAACTGCAAGTTTAAAGAAACTGAGTAACATCAGGTAAAGTAGCAATTATATCCCACTTGCACAAATTTATATTATGCGCCCATGCCTATTCCAACAAACTACTCCTTGATTGAGAAAACCACCTAAGAGTTCCTCTTTCTATTCTTGACAGCAGGTGACATGCCTACAGATCTTTTTAACAAACTAATAGCCATCAGCGAGCAATTTTTTTTAGAATCACTAGAGAATATCAATGCACTATTACACTTATATAAGTAAACATACAACTATTCGGCACAAAAGAGATTTTCAATACTTCTTCATGGAACAATTTCCCCGTGACTTTACAAGTCGGATGAACTTACTCATGCAGTACAGCAGTTACGAAGTTCCAACAAAAAAGGAACAAGAAAAAAGCAAAGCAAATTAGCTTCTTGAATAAATCTAGGTAATTAAATTGAGGAGAAAACAGAAACCTTACCGAGAAGAAGAGGAACACTGGACAAATGCCTTCCATTTCCTTTGATTCACGATATGCAGCATCCAATTTTCGGTTCCCAAGTGGTGTGCTGGCCCAGACGCTGTATTTCATACTTTTATGGATATTATCTTCACTGAAAGACTTTATAACAAAAAACTTTGCACGTTCATAATCAGTAATGAAATCTGGAGAGTTAATATGATTGGACTGAAGCCTAGAAGTAGATTCAACATCTTTAATGCCCACTGAAGACTCCTCTTCGGGACTACTCTTGCTTTTGGGCTTCAAGGCCCTTGGTCCTCTGTTCCGCTCGCTTGATAAACCAGATGTATCAGAAGCATCCCGATCCCTTTCCCGTCTTCCACTTTTGTCATTGGAAAACTGATATCGGCTAGAACCAGACCCAACAGTGCTTTGGTAAGAAGCACTGTGGACCAAATGTCTAGCTGAGGTATTTGTCGGCAAACCAAAACCCTGAAATGATGGCTACCATTACAAAATTAGCAATGAAAAAATATTGATGACTAAGTATGTTTAAGGACAGTATTTTCTCTTAAATCAATACTATGATCATTACCACACAAGCAATACAAGAAAGACAAATTATAAACACAAGAAAACTAAAATGTAACTAAAACCAACATTAATAATGATAGCACACAACAAAATATCAGCAGAAGCTTTTCACAAATTATAGTAAAGATTTTAGTTGGGGTGGTTGATAGGTAGGAGAACCCTAAAACACCATAGCAGCAGCATGGTACAGAGTTCATTTTAATAACCCAATTTACTATTACCACATGGAGAATCGGGACTTGATTAGGGCAGCAGAAAAGGCAAACAAATGAGGGATCATCATGTTCGTTTGTTTTTCTTTAAAAAAATTGTATTATTTCGCTAAATAATTGAACATCACTGAGTGGTTCACAGGCAAGCTCATCACTCGTTCACTAACATTTGGACAAAAGTCAACTATGTGTGTTCATGAATTTTGGGTCAAAGTACATATGTATGATGACAGTACCAAGTAAATAGTTGCAATACTAGAGCTAAAATAAGCTTATTCACTAAGCAGTAGATATATTTTTATAATTAATAAATGAATGATAAAAATAAGCACAACCAGACACCAAATGAACATGTTTCTGTTCATTTGGAGCCAAGACTTGGATAGAGGTTTGGTAGATCACCCTTTTCATTTTTTTTTTTTTATTTCTTTTCTTTTCTTAGTATTAGCCGTTTCAACTTCATCGATCAAGCGTAATAAAATAATCTAATGATAGAGGATAAACACCAGATTTTCTTTTCTCCATTAGTGTACATGAGTAAAATTTCAAAAATGTATACAATTAACAAACCTGTCCAACATTTTGCTCATAAGATCCAAGTATGCCAATAGGTTGCTGGTATCCAGTTCCAGAAGTTAATGGAGACATGAACCAGCTAGAATCTAAGGAAGTCGAGTGCCTAGGCAATGGTTCACTTGAGCCAAATTCTCCAGGGAATTTGTAAGGACCATGGCCACTACTTCCAGAAAATTCACCTCCGCTAAAAGATCCAAATGGTAGATAGTAAGCTGACCCTGGCCCAAAAAATGTATTGTCAATAAGGTTTTCTTGGCTGATATTTGCCGATGACATTATTTCATTCTGTGAGGCTGAAAGTCCGGAAGTAACATGTGGTGGGCCAGGTGAAATTGGTGGCGGATAGTAAGGCGGGGTCACAGGCACTTGATGAGGAGAAAACAGCTGACCATCAAACATTATTGGAGAAAGAGCGCTAGCAAGTGGGGAAAACTGTCCATATGCCATCTGGGAGTCAAAGCCGTAGCCCGGAGGAAAGAAGAGCGATGAATTATCATTGTACATGGCCTTCAATAAGTGTAACACAAAATTTAGTATCTGAAGGATTTAATCCTTTATATCATGTATTCATAACACAGCACTTAACTCACCGGAGGTATGACATTCAAGTTGCTGGCATTAACATAGTTTGACTGTTCATCCCAGTTACCACTGCCGTTATCATACCCTGGAACACAATATGATCAAGACTAACATTCTAAATGAGTGATGATTAAATACCATAAATTAAATAGTTAGGAATAAACTGGCTCTACTACACAATAGCTCCCCCATCTTTCAAACCATATTCTCTGTATTTACATATTATAAGGTTTAACCCCAAAATCCCAGTCCCGAGGGAACTCCCTACATTCCTTCCTCTTTCTTGCTGTCTATGTACAACAGACAAAGTTAATCAACCGAGTTAGCAAACCAGGGATTACCTGCAATATAGTAACCCTGTTCTTGAGGGGTATATGTGTTGAATGGTTGCTGAGTAGAAAGAGCTCCACTTGTTACTGAAGTCGCAGGCTGATCTTTGGTGCTTCTTGGAGCCTCCGTGACGGCTTTATCTGGAGAAAGACTCGTAGAGGCAATCCTTTCATCTTTCGGGGAAGTCTTCTAACAATATAATAACATATTCATGCAGATGTACACATCAGCTATGCTAATAAAACCATAGGGAACTCAAGGAACAAAAACCTGACCAAAACAAAAAGAAGAGGATGTAGAAAACACACCTCTTCACTTAAATTATGCGACTCAACAGCTCGGTCGCCTGCATCCAACAACACCAACTCGATAGTCAACAAAAGAACATTAAACGTATCATCCATAAACACGGGGCATAAGAAGTGAGAAGATAACAAATGATCCTTATTACAAAGGGTTGGTTATCTCATAGAATATACAATGGATAGGTCGAATGGACTTTCAAACACAATAATCTTGATCATACATATAAATTAGGGTTTTCTCACAAACTGACTAGCCATTTCAGGAAGTAAAAGCTCCACGGAGAAGAAAGCCAGTAGACTTCCTCCTTCTACTATCATAAAGCATGGACAAAACACAATGCATACAAAACAGGCATAAAAGAAGATGCGAATCTGAGATGAAACATACAACATAAGCACAAGAGCTCGAAAAAATCCTCTTGCATCTGATTTAGCTTAGATGCCAATCTAACGTTAATTGTAACCTATTGGCCAAACACCGGGCTCCTACGGTATTCGATTAATTAATTAAATATCGCCCAATGAAATAAAACAAGTAGATTCTTTTTCTCACAAGAACTCAGTACAAGAAAATCAGAGCAAAAGACCCCCCCAACAACCCTTTCCAGTGTAAAAACCCTAACCGCTAAAACTTAAGAGCAGAGAATTGAGGACACAGAACCAAAATTCACGAAAGAAAACAACGTGAAGCTTCAATGACATGAAAGAAACTCCTGAAAACTCTGCCTGCGGATGACA